CTGCGTGTATTTGATTACAACAGGTTCTGCATCTTCTTCTCTGCTGCTGTCAGGTGAATTCCACTCACCAAAGATCGAAATCTGCGTTCGATCAGCCAACTTTTGAAACGCAGAATCCATGCCACAGCTTTCTTTAGACGGCCCCAAGTAGAATACTTGCTGATGAGTCGTGCCACGGGATCATCTTTCACTGTGGCTCCCGTAGCTCGTGACACTGCTACTTTTGTATTGTAATTCCAATCAGTACAGAAATAAACCACAGACTATAAAATCAAAACGGAAGAAATAGCCCCAAACTTGCAGTGATTAGAACCATTAAATTGTGTAACTGGCGTTACAAAATGTGTCTCTGACGGTTCATCAAACTGCTCCTGAACTGAACACTGAGAGATCTTCTCAACAAGCTCCGTCAAGCGCTGGATACCTGCAGGCTGGGTGGTGTAGGCTTTCTTCGACTGCAGGCCACTGGAACACGGGTGACGTGAAACAGCAGCTAGGAAGTCTACCAGCGTGGAACCTTAAGGAAGAGCGGGACTTCGAACCAATCTCCGGGAAAGTGTGGAATATTGGACTGCATCCAAACTCGCATTGGTGCTCAAAGTCATTAAACTGTAGAGATTTACGGCGACATGACGGTCGTCGGTTATGCTACGATCGGTTTCTACACATTGACCTTTACTTGTGACAGCTGGCCACTTGTGATGAGTTCTTTTAATCTAACTCAGATCAACACGAGGTTACCAGGTGAAATCAACCTTGGAGTTTGGAGACGTGAGTTCGGAGACGTTGATAACAATGATCATGGTGGAAGTTGCAATCAAGGGAGTTGAAACTTTCCCAACTAATACTATCCGGTTCGTAAATTAAGTGACTTCGTCACAGGGGACGGGTGGATGCGCCACGATTTGCGGCCTTTCATTGGACAATCGCTGAAGTTGCGCGTTAACTTCCGGTTCCATGTAAACGACGATCAATGCATGTAACCCTATGTGCAGCGCACGTGTACAGTGGGCGTGGTTTAAACTGAAGTGACGTCACACTACGAACCGGATAGTCAAGATAGAAATGGGCGTTACATCAGTCCGGGAAATGTGTGAATCAGGAAACCTTTCTCGATTTGAAAACCTCTGTTTCCTATTGGGAAACGTTTCCCAATTATAGTAATGACAACGTTTCAAAATTCGGAAACACAAAATTCAAACTCGTTGCGCCGGCGCAAAATTCCACGAGTTGGAGCTAAAAGAAATTACTGAAATGTGATTTTCATTTACTTGCCTTAATTTCTGTCTGTGCAAATCAAAAAGTTATTTGTGCATTTTCTTTTTTAAGAAGTCAATAACTTTCGACCATGTAAGCCTGGCTGGGAAACAAAAATTTAGACCGTTTTTCAATACTCTACTTCGTCCCCGTTTCACGCTTTGTTTCCGAAACCAATCCCCAATAGTGGGCCTGAAGCATTTACATTAAATTGAAGTACTGTAATGTTAGGCTCTTTTGCATCTTACTTGATGTTTTGTGGCACTATCAGACTTACCCTCACACCTCAAATCGGGTAGTAAAACACAGTTGAAGCCTGAACGGATCAGAAGTCAGGTATTGGAAAACGGCGAATTTGAAGTTCAACTTCATTTGAAGCTTGATATTAGCCTCGTTTGGAGCCGTTATTTCAAAAATAAATAATTTAGCAACAATGTAAATTTTAAATATAGCTACAATGGAAGTAAAAAATATACCCTGTTATAAAAAGGAAATGTAAACGGTTAAGATTAGTTTCATTGGTTTTGTTATTGGTTTAATTGCTTATATCAATTATTTTGCCCAGTTGGCGCGCGGGACTTAAAGTCGGGAAACACTGCATTGTGTTTCTCGGCGTTCTGCCGGACCGTCCTTATGGAAGGGGGGGGCCCTGGCCACCGCCGCTTTGCAGGAGGAAGTCTCCTGATGAAAAACAAACATTCGGTTCCTATGACAAGTTGCTGAGAACTTTTTCAAGGAAGTAACACTACCACTTACAGTTGTTGCTCCATCCAGCATGTGCGATGTTTTACTTCCAGATGACCACTTCAACAAAATAAAAGTTACCACAACTGTTGCTGCCCGCTCCCCATTTTTCCCCTTTACTTAGAACAGCTACCACGCACTACAACGTGCCCCTCGAAGGCCACAGGTTTGCTATAAATAAAGCCACAAGTCCAGCCGGTTTGATGATGGGGTTCTATAGTCAAAGCTCCTCCCCTCCAAGAAATATACGAGCGAATCTGGACCACCCATTACACAGTCCACAAAGACAACTGTGAAAGATGGGGGACATGGCCGATGGTGCTGCCTGCAGGCAGCACCATCGGCCATGTCCCCCAAAAGATTTTGTCGCCAAAGTTCAGTATTCCATTTAGCCTGTTCATAAAATCTTCGGTTTCATTTTGTTACGAACCTGATCACCTATGTACCAATGCTGTTCATTGATGTGTAACAGAGTTTCATTTTATTCAAAAAGTCACATTTTAGGAATATTTTTATTCGGATGAACCTGGTTTGGGACAACGTTTTAAGTGCTCGAGAAGTCACTTCGTAGGAGAACAGGTTAAGGGACTTTGTATAAGATTCAACTGTTTAAACTAGACAAAGCTTCAGAAAATTATTTGAATTAGTGGTGGAGGGAAAAATAGTGATTTAAATTGTGTAATTAAATTTACTAGATCATCTGGTATTGTAATCCCGGTTTTACTTTAACGACAGCATCAAACTTTTCGACGGAGTGGAATCACAGATAACAGTGAAATCACTTTAATATATATTTTTGAGGGGAAAAATAGCAGGGATTACAGTGTTCTGTTTAAGTGCAAACGTCATCACACAGGGAGGGGCTCCTTTTACTGTCCATGGAACCCAGTTACCAGCAATTCTCATGCCCTGCGGCGAGCTTGCAGTACACAGTCATGGTGGTACAGAAAGTCATAGCCGAGAATGCCCTTATCACTAATGGAGGCGACAATCGCATCCCATTGATAGTGCTGCCCACCAATCAAAATATCAACCGTAGCAACACCTTCAATGGGAATAAGTTCTTTGTTTGCGGTTTCCAGTTTTGTATTTTCGCGCAGGGGTTTGAGTTCAAGGCACTTTTCAGCGGGTATTTGGCTAAAAAGTGCTGATGATATTATGGTTACCGCCGCTCCTGTGTCGACTAACGGTTCGCTTGGTGTGCCGCACATCCGCACTTTTAAAAACGCAGATATGCCCTGAATTTGCTGTTTTCTTAATTGGATAGTGTTCTGTTCATTGGGACGGACCGATGCCAAGCCGGACGGCACGGTCCTTGTTAGTTTCCCGGCTGTATGACGACGACATCTTTTAAAGAAGCCGCTGTTTCAGCCTGAGGGCACTTGTTCGCAAAGTGGCCGGGCTCGCCACGATGTGACTTTCCAGAGCTCGTGGTGTCACGGAGGCTCAGGGAAGTTTCGACTGCCGTTGTAGCCTCCTCGAGGGACTTGGGATTTGTCATGCCGATGGAAACTGCCGTCTGCTGATTGGAGAAGCCTTTCAGAAAATGGCGAAGAGCAATGTTCCCCCTTGTAACTGGATCCGCTGTCGGGTAGCCACGGAGGACGAGACGGCGAATTTCGGCAACAAACTCCGTCAGCTTCTCCTTGGGCTGGTATTTCCTAGCTTCAAGCTTAGCGATGTAGTACTTTGGCAACTAGCGTTCGCCAAACCGCTTGCCAAGCTCCTTCGTCAAGGTGTCGATTAAGGACTCGATGGCTTCAGGATCAAGTTGCTGGAAAACATACTCGGCTGCCTTCCCTCGCAGACTGCTCACAAGCCGGAACAGCTTTTCTTCTTCAGTCCAGCCGCAAGCCTTAGCGAGACCCATCAGTAGACGAAGCCCTCCCATGATTTCGTGCCGTCAAATTCTCCCGGCCTTGGCGAGGGATAGGAACATCCAGCTTATGACTCGACTGTGTTTGGGGTGAATGGGACTCGGGTTGCTCTGCAGCTGTATATTTGACTACAATGTCTGGCGTAGATGTTACTGCCTGTGAATCTTGCGAAGATTTTGTTGAAACACGGGCATTAGTCTGCTAAGCCTTGGGTGGGCTTGACGCAGCGTTTGCGCGGAGTTGTTTCAGCTCTTTCTCTGCCTCCACTGAACGAATCTTCAAGAGTTCGAGTTCTTGTTTGAGTTTTTGAACTTCTGAACTTTCTACCTGAAGGCCAGGAAACGACATGCCACTGTCATCATCCTCATACAGTGACTGCAATCTGCGAGACTTTCGGCTTTGTTTACCAGGCATGATGACGATTGATTTTCAATGGCTGAAAACAGAGTTCAAGGTTGAGGAGATACGCTCAGTGGAGGGATGTGGAACGACTTCATTAATGAAAAGTCATGCTAAAGTTCGATGGTGTGCTTAAGTTCATATCCCACCGCTTGCCGTCAGTGTAACGTCTCTCTTGGGGTAGGGAGTCGTTATCATAAAGAATGAGAGTCTTTGGACTGACTTACACACACACTTCTGTTTTATTCCGAAGAATTATTTACATCTTCTCGATATTTACAATGAGCAACTGCTTCTAGTAAGGCTAGATATTACTCAAGTACTGCTCGTCCAAATCTGAGCCATTTATTCGGGAGTGATAGACAGGTGGTTCATATCGGAGCTATACACTCACGAACGGTCAGGGAGTTGCTTCTCCAAAGCTACCCGCTCGGGAATCATGATCGATCGATGAAGCATCCGGTGGAGCTGTTCGGTTTATATAGACTTTTGGGGCCACGTCTTAGCCAATGGGAGCACTGGATTGGGGTCATTATGAATAATTCATACATGTAAAAATCTAGGGAAGGAAAGTCTATGGGGAATTTTGTAAACACTTGTTCTTCGCTGTAGTTTCTGGAGAGCAATAACTTCTGAGAACTTTAGGAGGGGGAGGGTGAAAGGCTGTTCGTGGGTAAGCTACGGGGGACTTGGTCAACGAGTGAAAGGAAAGGGTGAGCCTCTTTCGGTTCATTGTGTTGTGAACAATACTTCGTCTCTGGATGGCTTGGAAATCTACACGTAATTCTTACGGGGTAAAACTGAGGGTGAGCGGAGGTAATTGACCTCGCTGTGCCGTGACCGAACACAGGCTTTCGGTGTGTGGTTTGGCGGGACACATACGGTATGAGTTGGGGGTCTATGTGGGTCAAATGTACGGATTATATGTGCGACTGAAAGTAGAATCGACTCCGAGGAAAATTCGGGGGAAAATGACTAAGTTGGAAGTGTGCTTTGGAAGTTGCGGTTCAAGGGAATGTTGCAACGGGGTCGACGTGGAATGCAATGCGCTGTGTACAATCCGCATAATCTACCTGTAGATGATCATTGGGCGCTCCCAGTGGGGTAAGTGGTGTGTGTAGTAGCGTGTAGACTATAATGTACATGCATGGGAAACCTTTCCTCAGTTCATGCATTTCCCAGACTGACATCGGCACTACCATTACCATAGTTTTGTGCACTACTGTTGGACCCGTAAGTTTGGACACTAGAATGGTCTGGTCTTATGTCAGGCTTCAAATTGAAATCATCTTTTTATCTGAAATTAGGTGTGTAGTCCAAAGTCAAGTCATCTCAACAGTCAAGTTACCCTTTTATTAGTTTGACTGCCCTGAACTATGATGAAACTTGTCTGCAACGTTAAATACAATAATATCTGCATATGCTGCCGACCAAAGTCAAACATTATGCACTGATCATAAGGTGATAAGGTACAAGTATACTATAGCCTGCCTAGGCCTACATGTAGCATTTCAAACTCGGCCTTTGCCCAACTTACGCTGCAGTGTGTATACGCCATATGATTGCTCTGTGCAGGCCTTTATCTGGGTGCCATGAACATGTTGTCTGCAGCACAAAGGTGTCGCTGTCAGTCGAAATGGGAACATATTGTTCGTCTGACTGCCAGCTCTTTTTTCTCAGCGATGGAGGGCAGTCCACGACGTTATCTCACTGGGAAAGCAGTCTGCAATCACTACAATCAACCCCTGAGTGGGAATGAAATCCCGCGATCTGGGGGAATAGCAACTATGTTCAGGCTTCCATATCAGAAGACTGCCGAAGGTAAACCTGCTTTGAAATTACTTCACACTGGAAATCTTGAATCAAAGCAGTCCCAATGTGGTGCACAGCAAAACAGGACTTGTCAATTTATAAGTAAACTGGTAGTGTTAGGCCTAATGCACATTAGGCCTATATGTATGTACTGATAATTTCATGCTTAGTACATAAAGTGATCTACTATGATGCTTTGCTACATTGAGTTTCAAATCCATTGTCTCCACCTGCAGCTCCCACAGAAAAATGCACATACAGTATGTAAACAACACTGTCATCAGTACATTATGCCTGTTCTACATGTATTTAAGCTGATTGCATTAATTAACATTAAGCTTGACATCTGCACAGGTTTAGAATATGAAGTGAATGTGCCCTTGGTTCCCAGTAACAATTCTATCAACAGAAAAATTATGGGGCTGAGTTGTGACATGTAGCCACATATGGATGAGTGTCTGTGACATTCATGCATTGTCTTCATTTCATTTGAAACAGGACTTGACGCATGTTTTGTGGGTATTCCGTTGGATACCGGAACCTCAAACAGATCAGGGGCCAGACTCGGCCCGAGGCAGATCAGGACCGAGTCATGTCTGATACGACTTTACAACAGCCTCGGTAAGGCAGCAGTGGCATAGCCACATCGGGACCTTGGGGAATGTGCACCCCACAAATTCTTAGTGCCCCGCGGTTTTCCCCCCCCCTTAAAAAAAAAAAAAACGATGAATGGATTTTGAACAAGGCTAACAAAAGCTTGCCCCAAAAAACCCACACCATTGAAAGCTGGTGCCCCCATAAAATGCTGGTGCCCCCTTTATTGTGCCCCCTGAAGTAAAATCTTAGCTACGCCACTGTAAGGCAGCCAAAATGTTTCATATACTGGATGGGTTACCTGGATCACCTGTGAACATTGTAATTTTAAAGGACACTCAAAAGTAATACATTGCAATGGCTGAGTTGCCTGCATGTGTGTTCCACCCAAGGGTGCAGATGGCTTCAGATTTGTCCATTTAAAAACTTGAATATTTGAATATTCCACCTTTCATTTCATCAAGTATTCAGTCATGCCTATTTTTAAAACAACCTGCAGAAACAAAATATACATACATGTACATGATTGTGTTGTGGTCAACCTCTGTAAGCTTTGCAGCACGCTCCATCCCCGCGTTGAAGGAGGGGGTCAACACGTTGGTCCAGGTTGGAATTGATTTTCTATGTCCCAGCAAGATCATACGTCACAAAAAGTCCAAGGGAAAAACCTGTAAGGAGCCTCAGCTCGCATTTACTTGTAACACAACATGAATTGCCCAAAATCTTGGGGGGGGCATACTCTGCACTCTGCATGACTTGAATAAAAACCCCAATTCCTCCTAAAAATTCAGGTGCAGCGCCTTTCGAGAGCATACAAGTTGCCGACATCGGAGACGTCAACATCAACCTGTATGACCTCAAGAAGGCTGTACGCATGATCAAGGAAGCCTACTCCAAGATCGTCGCCACTGGCTGCAAGCCGTTAACTCTTGGCGGTGACCACACCCTGTCATACCCAGTACTTCAGGCTGTGAAGGTTGTCACCATACATCATAAGTTATAAGTTCACAATTTTACCATGAGACATACACTTCTCTTTTGAAAAAGTCTCTCTGGGGGGGGACATGTTGGCCCTGCAGTTGTCCCCCTCCTGTGGATCTGCCTGTTATCCCTCCCCCCAACAATCCACCAGAGAGGGAGGCCATATTTTCGCTGCCCTTTCGTTTTTGACATTTTAACACCTTTCCTAGCTTGTTACCTTTTTAATCCCTTCACCAAACAATTCCTGGTAATCCTTATACACAAACAAACAGGGGTTTGCCTGCCACCGCTTTTGAGCACTGAAGCAAGTAATTGTAGTAAGCTCAGCTTTGCTACGGTCTTTTTTGTTTGCAATTTTAAGTGTGCAGAGAGGAAGCACAAAATGAAAAACCTGACCTTAGTAGTTTCATTACAATGAAGCTCATATTTCCTGAAAATGATGGATGGGTAGTCATAACTTATTTTGAAAAATGAGAACCAACCTCTAGCCTCTTGTTGACACAAGATATAAAGTTCAAACTGATAAGAAATCTAAAAAAGGCATTGCTTAATAAGCGTTTTAACTAAGAAACTCTCTTGTGGAGTTAGGACAGCAAAGTTGTACACCGTCAAATCCAATAGTTTTCATATTGTTGGTTAAGAAGTTGTGCGCTTAAACTCCATTTCATGTTCATAATGGAACCTTTCTGCCGTATCATTGTGTCGAGTACCATGGCCTGCTGGACTCACGTGTGACAGTTTGGGGGTTCGAATCCACATGTTCTATGGTACTCTTCCTTGGTTGAAATAACTCCCCTCAGGAGTGGAAATGTATACTGGGGACGGTGGATCTGTTCTGACTTCAAGCTGCTGCAGAAATTGGCGCAGTGAACAAGCACAACAATTTTGAAATGCTTTTGAGACTTCAACGATCAGTCCACTCTTGTTATAAAGAACAGAGTTTTAGAAGCCCAATTGCTTTAATTCTTATGTTTTTCTTTGTTTTCCCACTCCTTTTACATCAAAGTCCTGATTATTACTGAGTAATTTGTCTGGTCCCTACAACTATGTTAAAACGAGAGTCTGCTGTACTTGCTATGAACCAGCTAAATGACTACTGAGTCATTCTGTAACCACTGTTCATGTATTTGACTATTTTGAATCGCCCGTTGTGTCATTTTTATGCATGTAAAAGCATTGAAGTTCTGCAACAGAGCCAAGCATGGCAAATTTTAGTGATGTCCTTTTGTTAACCACTTCTTGATTTTGCTGTACCGAGCATTGAGTTTGTGCATATATGTTTCTAGGGAAGATTGACAACTAACCGTTACTCAAACATGCCCGTTGATGAACAGTTTGCGTCTAATCTTTGCACCACTGTATCCGAAGCCGACTATAAAAATCCTGAATTCTCATTCGCAAACTACCTGCCTCAGGAGAAGCATGGCACCGTGGGGCTGGTCCACATAGATGCCCACGGTGACACATCGGATGAAATGCTAGGGGAGAAGATAGCTCACGGCACTCCCTTCCACCGAGCCATCGAGGAGGAGCTTCTCGATCCCAGAAAGATGGTCCAGATTGGTTTACGGGGGCCTCAACATACTTATGACGACACAGAGTGGCAGAAGAACCAAGTACGAAAAGTCTTTTTTTCTTGTTTGAGGAGTTACATGTATTTTTCCCCACCATTGTTGTTACTCAACAGTTAGAGAGGTAAACATTAATTATTTGTTTTATACATTGCCCGAAGAAATCCTTTAAAAATCCCGGTATTACCTGAAGAGAACTTGAAAAATATTCACCTGAACAAATGCATACATCAGCTACAAGTGAAATAGCTTATTAGAAGAAACAGGAATTTGGGTTAATAGTATGTCTATTTAACACAGACCACCCTCAATCATGCCAATACGGTGGCCACATGAAAGGGGAATGCCAATCAATTCCCTTTGTTCTCTCTATAAAAAGTTCAAAGTCATTAGCATACAAGTACAGCACACTCCCTTTTGCAAAGTCTACGAATACTTGGACTGTTTTCATGTACAAGTCTAAAGACTTTTATCTGGCAACCATTCCTGTTCAGTAGCTGATCAGTCTAAACAATGATCTTTATAATGTGAATAAAGTTTATTTGCTTGCTCATTAGCTGTGGAAAAAAGAATAGTACTTGCCGGGAATTGGGGAAGCTGTAACAAATGTATTTAAACACTTTCATTACAGCTGTGTAACATGCTTTGGTAAAGAGCGCCATGGAGCAGTGGAGCTATGTTGGAGTAAACTTCCTCAAGTTTTCCTCAGAATTCACTTTCCTATTTTGTTGTTAACGCTCCTTGTCTGTTAGTACTGTGTTACATTGTGTTAAGGTTATTTTGTCATACTTTAGGGCTCAGTTCTTGTGTTCTGCTCTCTTGACAGGGAGTGTGGGTGGTTCGGATGGAGGAGTGTCACCACAAGTCGCTCCTTCCGCTCATGTCAGAGGTCAGGCAAATGATGGGGGACACCCCTGTTTACATCAGCTTTGATATCGATGGAATAGATCCAGGTTTTGCTCCAGGAACAGGTCGGTTGAATAATTAACCCTGTTATAGATGTTTATCCAACCATTGTGGCCTTTGGTACCACAAAAGATCAGATAGTTTTCAGTCAGCAGTTCCATGGTGTGCAGATACAAACAAACCACTTACTGTGGGGAGTACGGTCATGCATGCTGGATGCATGGTGTATAGAGTACTGAAGTGTGACGTCACTGTGAGCCAGAAAGTGTAGTGCAAATGAATGGAGTACATGCGCGTGTTAATTGGTTCATGCGCAGATTGTCGTTCAAATGCCTTTTACACACACAATTCTACGCGTGATGTAGTCACTTCAGTACTCTATATCCCTCCACTCCGCTTTTGGACTGGGGGGGATGGGCCATTTTATTATCCACCCCAGGCCCATGATGTTGAGAGGACAAAAAAATGCTGCAAAAAACTTCAAAGCATACAGGAGGAGCCAATATGAAGATTGTGAATTTCACGTAAATTAGCTGTGTCAAGCGTCAGAAAAGAGGACTATGCACCAAATGTATAGCAGTGATTGAGATATGTTCATAATAAAAAGTTGCCCCAACTCCCATTTTCTAATATCTGTGGTTTTGGGACTTCATCTTCTCTATACTTCCGGACACATGATGGCCTTGCCACACACCTGTAAATCCACAAATTGGCTCATCTGTTAACATTATTCACTTTAGGAACCCCCGAAGTGGGCGGTTTGACCCCAATACAGGGAATGGAGATCATCCGCGGCTGTCGTGGGCTGAACATCATTGGTGGAGATCTGGTCGAGGTAAGTATGACCCGACGAATTCGCACTATAAAGTGCCAGCTCTGTTGGGAGAACCTGTATGTCCTCACTGTGAAAATTGGCACCTCATCCCTCTTTTATAATGTCTGTAGTAGATACCAGGGACAGCCCCGGTCAAACCAGGGTCAAACCTGAGTCAAACTCTCTCCTGATGCTTGTCAAAATCTGGAGTAGCAGGCGCATGATTTTCTACCAAAAAAGAGGGAATCAAGTAACCTACATGCGCCATTTGTTTTTGAGTAATGTCTAGTGCACTTATATGTTGGAGTTGCTCACTGTGTGAGAACAAACATGCAAACTTACACGTGATGAATCTTTCATTGGCTCTTATGGGTAGATCACAGGATACACTCTGAAGTTCAGGTCAAGAATGCCTGGGTGGCTGACTTTTGGGGGGGGCATTGCTGTTAGGATATGAGAATGGGATGTGACAAAAGGACATATTTTCTGTGACAAGTAGTCTTCATTCGGCTCTGTAGTTCATATACATTTGTGCTGATTTCATGAGTCATGCATATTTGGTTTGTAGGTGTCGCCTCCCTATGACCCGTTTGGTACTACCGCGTTGCTGGGTGCCAACCTGCTGTTTGAGATGTTGTGTGTGCTCCCCGGCGTGAAGTACCCATCTGAGTAACCTTCCTGGGTAACTTTTTGTGTCTGTTCAGCTAACCTATTTTAAAAAGAGGCTGGGTTCGTATATGACAGCAATTTTGCACTCCCTGTTGCTTCTGTTCATTGCCAATAGAGGGTGATGTTGTTTTCAAAAGGCTTGAGATATACCCGTGTTGCCAAGTTTTTAACACAAGTACTCCCTCTACCTTAGTGTAACAGTTTAAATTGTTGAATGTTGTTGCATCATGAAATGAGGCAAGTTTACTTGTAATTTTCGCAAAGATACTTTAAAGTCTTGCAAATGATAAAATTGCCAAGAGTCCTGATCGAGTTGAGTCTATTATTTGTATCTATAGGGCCGTATATAAGATGGTGAAGCCAAAGATTTTTCTTTCAAGTTGATGATCACATCTTGGCTTTATACTTGAAATTTTCTGGGCTTGGCAGTATTTCATCTTGGGATAATAATACGTATTTTTTTTTAATCCAAAAACTCAGTAAAGCTTAACAATCGTCTTTTTAATGTGGGAAACTGCCTTATTTCATAGGACAGACAGCCAGTCTTTTTCCAAACCCAAATTTATTTTCTAAGCTAGGTAGCCAGTTTATGTGTCATTTCGTTTTGCCTCCGAAAAGTATACTTTAGCAACTCATCACTGCCTAAAGAAATGTAAACATTGTATTTATGCCAAACAAAAATAGGGCACCAATTGTATTCTTTTAAGGCAGTAACCTGCTGAAAAATGAATAAATATTGCTTAAGGAGATATAACTTTCCCATTTAAATAGAGATCTCTCCACGTTTACTTCAGTTCTGTTTATAATTTTGGTATTTTAAGCAGCGTAGGAATAGTGAGAGGACACACAGATTGACACAGACGCACGGATTTGGGGGCAAGTCTGCTGTCTTTCAATCTTGGTAATGCGCCATGAGCTCTCTTCATGGCAATATGCTGAGCTAAAAAGGGCTATTTCTTCCGGAGGGTGTAGTGAGTAAATCCTTTGTGTGGTTTCTTGTGACTGTGAGGTTCACTAGAAGGTAAAAGTAATAACTTTCTGTCAGTTTGGGATGCATAAATTTTAGGATTTGTACCTCCGTGCTCCAGCAAAAATTTTGCTCTGTTGCCCACAAACTGTATACATGCACAAGTACGACATGTTAGTGTTCAATTTGAGCTGTGCCTGTGCATTTATTCGTTGAGTCACTATTTCGTACCTCAATTCTCACTATCTTTTGTTTGTATTTGTAACAGGGAAAAAGGGCACACCAGGGGGGAACTTGCAAAATAACAAAAAAACTAATTAAACCAAGGATCTTTGAGGGACAGATCTCAGGGAAGTGAATTAATAGGGACCCAGACACCAATATTTGATTCCAACAAAAGGACACAACAGAATTTATTAATGAAAAAGAACCCCCCAAAAATAAAAAAAAAGAAAGGACAAAAACTGAAAAGACCTAACAACAAAATGCTAAATCTTTATAAGGACTAAAACCAAAACCAACACAGCGTGTAAAATGGACCTTAGGAGTTTCCACTTTTTAGACTTCAATCTGTAAAAAACGAGAACTAAAGAACGTTAGACTACTGGAAAAGAAACGGTTTCCGCCACTGATCTGTAATGTTGCACCGTGCTAGTAAGGCTTCTCTGTAGTTGGGTCCTTATTTAGGGAACCACTTCTTAAACACTCTGCGACGCAGATCATTGCTGGGCTCGCTTGTAAAAAAAAAATCGAGTGAAACGCCAGACAGGAACCTTAAACTTTTTCTGGCCCGCACAGTGTCCATTATGTTAAACTGAGCGATAACAAGTTACACAATTGTAGCTTTCTATAATGTGCTCCGAAACAAAATGAAGGAAAAGAGGGATCTGGTTGCATGTACGCACTATGATAAAAATATATAATGGTGACTCTCGATTTCATTCGGGATTTAAGTTGCGCTGTCAACCCTTGTTTAAAATCAAAATTATATTACTGGTGATGAAATGATGATTTTTTTCACGGTATGCAATGACAACATAACCGTTATCAGGGGCTACCATTGAGCAAATAACCAGCTGTACAATGACAAAAGCGTATGGATTTAAACAAGCTTTCAAGCTTCAAGGAGGCTGGACCCTACGCGGTTATAAGATATAGTTCTACCTACAAACACAATGTCAAGTTCATCTGTTCGTTAGATGGGAACATCAGTCAAGTCTTCATGCACGCAATGTAAGGTATAAAGAGTTCCGCTGTCCCCGATCCTATCCACCAGTCATGGTATGATCAGGTCAGATCGCGACCAAGGCCAGCCTCGGCGACGGGAAACCGCCGCCGGTCCTTGTCACACTGCTTGTGCATGTGCACCTTCATCTCGATGATGTAGTAGAAGCCGATGCCGAAGACCAACACTGTGGCTAACACGGCCAGCTTGACCCAGACGCAGAGGAAGTTGCTGTAGGCGAAGGAGACGGTGAACCCCAAGGATTCCCACAGCCGATAGTTGGAGAAGCCTGCCTCTTGTTTGTCTGGGAATAGCACACCGTACAGGGCTGACAAAGCAAACAACAAAATTTAGCCGATTGAGAGATGAGGGCAACAGTGCAGATGAAGTGTAATGCTGTCTTCGCTGTAGTACGATTTTCTTGTACATTATCGTCAGTGCACAAAGTTACTGATCAGTGGTTGCAGAATGCAAGGAAATTTCGTACACGTCAGTTACGCTCTTTTTTCCCAATCTGCAGAGCCTTGTACAAGCTGATTATTACATCGAAAGTCCCACCTCGCGCTCCTCTTAGCTTTTTCAGATCTACCTATGGCCTTCGGTTTCTTACATATTAGAGCAGACAATCATCACGTACACGCCTGAGGTACTCAGAAGATTCCAAACATTTGAACTCTGTTAAGTCAGTATTGTAGAACCATTAAGGAGGCTACCTTTTTTCTTCAACTGAAAACCCGACAACCATCTTCCCGGTCACTGCTTTTTTTTTGGGGGGGTATGATAATTCACCGAAAAGATGGCTGCCGTGCACAACCTCTTTCTTTGGCCATCACTAGGTAGTCGCTTAATTAATGTACAGTTCTGTCAAGCTTGGATTGGTCTGTGTTCTTCATAAGCACCCGATGATATTCAATCATATAACCTGCAAAATTCTGCTTTATAGCAGACCCTTAACAAAACCCCTGACCTACGTAGGCAAATTTTATGAATCTCCTATTCATAAAAAAATGCCAAGCATAGAAAAAATGTGGCTTTTCAGGTTTCTGAAGATGTGAGTTTCAGGAAGTAGGCAAATGTATCCAAATTTCATGTTAATTATACACAACGGGTTTGCTCTTACCCAACGTACGTTGGGTAAGGGCAAACCCGTTATGTATAATTAACATCTCCCCAACGCAAAAATACATCTTGAAAATTTCATGTTGATTTTTATGCTCTTGTAGCGGCTTCATTGATGGCCAGCTCTTCCTAAGCGTGCAAATTAGTTTCTTTTACCGTTGATCTGCGTTTGCCAAACGGCGTCGGCCGCTCCCCAGCACGCCGCAATGACAAAGCAGACCGCCAGTTGATCCTTCGTTGGCACCCAGAATAACAGCGTGAGAATCAGTGCCATGTGAACCAAGGCGCCGAAGGTGAAGAGTGGTATCCGGCCCATGTGCTTGACAAGCCGACCAGACACGAACGAGCAGGCGGCGTCCGTTAAGCCATAGCATATCATGACGTACCCTACCCAGCCGACACCAACAGTACACGTTACATAAGACTGAATTTTTTTTAAAATGTAGAAAAGAAAACAAGCACAGTGGGATTTAACACGTTGCAAGAGGGAACAACAGATTCCAGGTACAGCGTTGGTATGTGACCAAGAAGACGATTTTACTCGTATTGGATTTGAAAGTGCATAATCAGTTTGGGACAGCAATACGAGCGTTTCACAATAGTGCACCTCCAAGAGTTTGCAACGCGTTGGCCAATCACAATTCGCGAAATCTGTTGACCCAATGCGCGTTTCGAAACTGGGTCAACCTCGACTCCATGGGCTGCGTGCGCGTTCCTTCAATAGCCCCTTGTCGTGTAGAATACGAAAATGACGCTGACTAGCTATTGAGGATGAATTAATAAACGTGAAGTCAATCGCACGTGCATTTCAAAAGTTGCACGCTCATGCCCACGTATTCTCTTGCACATCACGCACGCGTAAGTCTGCGTCGAGCATAAAGACACTGACTACGGTCCTAATTTAAATATCCCCAATAGGGTGCGTTCGATTAGCTTACATGTGTAAGTCAAACTTACACGAGAGCGTTTGTTTAGCCATCACGTGATCCTCGTGCCTTCCCTGATGTCAGCCACTACTACCCCGGCTGGCGAGCGGGTCTCTGGAGGCTGCCCGAGTGTAATGACGTCACAGATGGACTGTTCGTGCATGGACGTACATGATGGAACGTTCGATTACCCTCATTTTGAGGCTTCCCTTGCGTGTAACACTGGTGTATTCAGGGAAGCTAATCGAACGCACCCATAGAGGGATATTTCAATTATACAAGACCAGGGGTAAGATTGCGCAAGGCATGGTGGGAACCAACATGGCGCGGCAAGATTGTGCCCATGAGAACGAAGTTGGGAAAGAGTCGACAAATTTCGCAGGTTGTGATTGACCAACGCTTTGCAAACTCTTTGGGCGCACTATTGTGAATCGGGCGTATTAAATAACCTCTTTGTTAACTTCTGTTTTCATCAACAACACAAATAACTAGCGGCTGCACATTATAACATGCAGTTAGCAACTACATACAGCAGCAGCAACAGCTTAAGTTCCGCTGGACAGCGAAAAAATCGGACGCAGCAACCAGCAGGACCATTACAACTCTATGACACAACGGACAACTACAGTTCTGGAGCACTTTCAACCGGCGGCAGCAGTAATTAAGGACAAGCTTCTCACCCTGGTAAAGTCGCCGGTAATGAACGCCTGCTCGAGCCCGCTGTAAATCGTAAGAGGAATAAGCAGCAACATCCTGTGGTCCTTCAACAGTCGAAGGGTGGCCATGACCAGTTGGCAGGGGTTCTCTGTCTGAGTCCGACGGCTTGTTTTAAGTCTATGCAAAAGTATTTTGTGTATTTTGTTAAGTATACAAAGAAGTGTTTGTCGTGTTAATAGGAAGTGGATCAAGAATAAACCCTGCGTAGCATCGGAGAACCACTAAGCCTTACCCAACCCCCATGGTCACCTCAAATACGAGGCCGACTTAGTTCTCAGCTTAAGACAACTCTAATGCAACGCAACGAACGAAGAGGTAAGGCCTATAGTCTTTGCTGACCGCGTGCCACCATTGTCCTCGTTTGGGAAGAGGGCTTTTTATCAGAGTTTAATCAGTGTGGAAGCCGTGCTGCTTGCGGGCCATGCAGTTAAACATATCATAGAGGAAGGACACAGAAGGAGTATAAACTGCCTGGGCTGTAAATCTGGCCAATTACCGCTTTCTAGCATGCCTGGTATGTCCATAACCAGAGCGCAGCGAACGCTTGCTACGCACCATCTGTTTCACAACCACGAAACTCATTTGTACCCTATGATTGCCGCCGCAATTTGGCGATGGTAATCTGCATTATTAATTTAAAACTTAGTGTACTGAGGTATAGGAAATTGAATATTCATGCCTTTGTTGGTGCTTGGTATGATCTCATGACAACATCCAATTGTCCGGATAAGTGCAGGCAGTAATCAGGCATTTTGGAATGTTTTCTGTTATTCGTCTGACTCGGCGGCGACCATCATTGAACACTTTGCATCTCCTTCTGTGTCCTTCCTCTATGAACAAATCTACTTCTCACTTGTCGAGGAAAATGGAAACGAGAAGCACTGCCGCTAGTCCACTCCCGAGGTAGATGCCCAACAGCGTGTAGGTGACAGTCTTCTCCGGCGGATCGCAGTAGCCGCTACCATTCGATGTCACTGTCGAAAAGGGGGACATGCGAACATTTGTAAAGCATATTTACTTCATTATTTGTGGGGGGGGTCCTCGTTGTCCGACATTCCATGGAGCATTATTGCCTTAAGTGTCATTGTCTGTGTCACACCACCATTTTGTCTGCGTCGGTTCTGTAGTCGTCAAGAACAATTTGCATTCTTGTCTTGTCTGGGTGGTATAAGTCTCTGCGTACAATACTTAAAAATGCATCTTTGGGTATATGTAAGAAAGTGATACACATGAGTCGATCTGTGTAGCATTGATCCCAAATAATCATAAAAAGATATATTGTCTGCAGGTATTGGCGGCGCCAGGATTTTACCCGGGGTGGGGGCAAAGCACGTTTTCCAAGGGGGTTAGTTTCTGGTGGAGCACTCAGCAGCGGCAAACTGATGAACGATCAAAGACAGGAGGGGAGTGCTGCAATATGTTTAACGCAACTCGGTGATTTGCATTTCTATTCATCTTTTTTAAGGGTTTCTTTTGTTTCAGCGTTTGCTCTGGTTTCCTTTTTAAATGTCTATGCCTGCAGGATATCGATGAGGATAAAATTTATTTCCTAGCAATCATCCTCTTTACTTACCAGGACAGTCATTAGAGCCGCAGACAAAATCTCCCGAGGATTCCGTTCCCTCCTGTCGTAGCACTAATGAAGAAATCAGATTCCCTAGAACCTGGCTTGTCTGGAAAAAGAGGAAGAATATTCCGAAGAAGCGATTAACTATGGCGTTGTTGGTGTTCCTCGTTAGCTCGGCATATCTCTGGGCGATGGTGGTCACGTAGGTGCTCTTTGAAGCCCACAGGGGGGCGGCGGCCAGACCGACGAGTGCCGAAGTTGGGATCAGGGTGCCCCAGTCGGGGTAGAAATTGGCCGCAATGTACACGGAGTAGCAGAGCATGGTGACCGACAGTGTCCATTTCATACCCAGGAGCCGGATGGCCACGGACGGGACCAAGATGGCGGAGACGACTAGGGTGGCATAGATGGTGCTGAGGGATGCCAAGCCCAGCCCAGCGTCGCAATTGATGCTACTCTGAAGGTTGGACAGTGCCTGAAAAGCGGTGAAGAGAAACAGGAAGGCCATGCAGATGATCAGAAGGTTCTTGAGGACTCGTCGGGTCCCCCAATCAGCAGAGTCGTTGCTGATCCCACTCCTGGCGCCGTTTTTCTTTTCGTCGATATTGAGTGTTTCAACTTGACCATCACCATTTTCGTTTTCTCGAGCCGGTAAAGTGCTTTGCTCTATCTTCTGGTCTTCATCCATAGTAGATCTGTGTTAAGTAGTAAAAGTGAAGTGGTCATCGCACACTCTGTAACAAGCGGAAGTTTTTTGGTGAAGCTGACTTCAGTAATAGTCGCTGAGGGAAAGACAAGTATTGAGGATGTCCGCGGTTTGAATCCGGACCACTGATCACAGATTCCCCGTCCATATCTTTGTGGAGAGGATAAATTTTGATAGGTTATTTAATTGCTGTCCAAATTTGCGGCCCTGACGGTCATATTCAAGGAAAAATCTCCTTTCAACGATTTATCAACTTGAACCTTACCATAGCTTGGCACCCACACCACATAATGGGGTAAATGTAAAATAAATACACAACTGGCAAGCTTCAAAACCGAGACTTTGCTTCGTCTATTAACAGCGGTAGCTGGTCGGATCGGGTGCGTGGATAATTTTTTGTCGATTGTCCCTTAACTTCGTTACCCGTACCCTGGATCCACAATGTTTTGGTTTATGAACTCCGAGCTTACCTGGGTCTATCATCGAACGGACACACGCGAGATCGATCAGCCGTGAGCGATTCTAAGCTAGTTTTTGGGTGTTGTAATAGCTGTTAGTCCTTCGAGCAAAGCATTCAGTTCTCCAGGCTACACAGGGACGAGTATGAATGCGAGAGTGTGCCTTTTTAAACTTTCACGAAAGGCATACAAAACTGCTGTCTGATTCTGTACATACTATACACACTTGGTTGTCAGAATTGTAATCGAGACCGTCAGATATACGCCAGATCGTGAAATCCAAAGACAGTGATATTCGGTATTCATTCGTTGATAGCTAGTGCTCAACTTATCTCAGATGGCGGGTGTTTAACAGCTTTAGTGCCGATCAGTGCAAACATGCAGGGATCGAAGGTCTATAAATATCGAGGCCAAATAATTTACCGCTCGATCTCTAAACCCAATATGCTCAGGAACGTGAGACTAGACCACTCTAACGAAATTGAATTGAAAAACACATGTTTTTTTTACTACGAGCGCAATCACAGGTGCACGGTGTGGTTGTGTG